CCGCGGGCCAAATGCGGCCCGCCGAAAACATTTATCCGGCCTGCCAGGTGTTTTTGCTGCCACTGCCTGTTGCTTAGCAGCCGACTAGTTTTATTTTTAAACTATAGTCCGGCCCTCCAACGGTCCAAGGGACAGTGAACTGGCCCCCTGTTTAAAACATTTGAGGACCCCTGGGTTAGGCCTATATGCTTGCCTGTAAGTCCTTTGGTTGACCTCTAAAATGGTGTATTTATTTTGGTAAAAGCTGGGAAAACTATACACTAGTATGTATCTATACACTGGATGGTGGTTTTTATGGGTGAGACATTTTTCCTCCTAGTTTTCAAATGTTAATAATATGGTTATAGTATTTTTATAGTGAAAATTTTAAAATAAAAGCTCTTCAAAGTACAGTTACAATCACATGACGTTATGATGAGAATCTTCCCACCGAAAACACCAGGACACATGGCCTGGCTTATGGTCTGGCCATAAGTCACAGGGGTTTTGAAACTGTAATTATTCCCCCAGATCTAGGACTCAAACATATACATAAACTGGCCATTGATGGCTACAAGGCAGACATGAGTAGGACCACTCAGCTGTATTTTTTAAAAATATATTTTATTGATTTTTTACAGAGAGGAAGGGAGAGAGATAGAGAGTTAGAAACATTGATGAGAGAGAAGTATCAATCAGCTGCCTCCTGCACACCCCCTACTGGGGATGTGCCTGCAACCAAGGTACATGCCCTTGACCGGAATTGAACCTGGGACCCTTCAGTCCGCAGGTTCTGGATGCTCTATCCAGTGAGCCAAACCAGCTAGGGCCACTCAGCTGTATTTGAGGCAACCCCCTCCGGACACAATGTTGTAGGTGACTCAAGACCACCCACAGTGCCATAGTCCCAGGGCAGTACACGCTGTCAGAGGACCAAATAAAATCGATACCTTGCTGTGGCTAAAACAACGCGTCTTCCGCAATGGCCCCACCCAGGACACTTCTGTGTGCGTAGCATCATCATTCCATACAAAGGAAGCCCCATCAGTCCCAACTGAGGTAAGTTTCTCCTCTGCTGGCACATTCTAGAAAAGGAGACTTCCTCCCCGTCCTGCATTGAGTCGAACATCCAAGGTGGTGCCTGGACAGTAAGCCAGATGTCATTGTTGTTCTCTCTCTCTCTCTCTCTCTCTCTCTCTCTCTCTCTCTCTCTCTCTCTCTCTCTTCCCCCCTGCCCCTAGTACATAAACTCCAAATTAAGTCTTAATAAAAAGTTATTGCTGAATGCCCTAAAGATTCGTTCATTCAGTCATTTGTTCACTTGCTAAAGGGTAATGAAAGCAGGCCCAGTTTATTACATCCTGGTATTGACGAGCACAGAAAAACATCCCTCTCCTTCCAGTTTATAGGCTCGATCAGAGTTCACAGGAGTTGCTGGAGAAGGTGGGCGGTCTGTGGTCTTCGGACCTGCTGATCAGTGTGAGAGGGGCCACACTTTCCTCGGGGAGTAGGGCTCCGGGGGGCGGGGGGGGGGTGTCCTTGGGGAATTGCTAGCAAAAGTGGTCCTCATGGGCGTGCCCCCAGGGAGGCCTTGGGAGACTGGTGCCTCCTGGTGTGCTGAGATGAGGTGGACATTTAGAAGGAGGTTTAGAAAGAGGAAGGAGACACTGAGGGCAAAGGTCACTACTAGACAAGTCTGTCTCTTGAGTGAGGGGCAGTAAGACTGGCTTTTTCTTTCGGAATCCACCGCTGGAGTGTGGCCTACCTTTTGATTCGGCTAATACGAGAGTGTTCATGGCCACCTGCCTAGGAAGCTTCCTAGAGTTCTATTTATTTATTTTTAAATATATTTGGATTGATTTCAGAGAGGCAGGGAGAGGGAGAGAGTGATAGAAACATCAATGATGTGACAGAGTCATCGATCGGCTGCCTCCTGCACACCCTGCACTGAGTATCAAGCCCACAACCTGGGCATGTGCCCTGACCAGGAATTGAACCGTGATCTCCTGGTTTATAGGTCGATGCTCAACCACTGAGCAACACTGGCCGGGCCCTAGACCAGCCGTAGGCAAACTGCAGCCCGCAGGCCGGATCCGGCCCCTTTGAAATGAATAAAACTAAAAAAAAAAAAAAAAAGACCGTACCCTTTTATGTAATGATGTTTACTTTGAATTTATATTAGTTCACACAAACACTCCATCCATGCTTTTGTTCCGGCCCTCCGGTCCAGTTTAAGAACCCATTGTGGCCCTCGAGTCAAAAAGTGTGCCCACCCCTGCTCTAGACATTTATTGAGCAGATTTCTTGGATGCCTGAGAGCTGATGCTTACCAAGCATTAGTCTGAGCACATTCCTCAGTATTGGACCTGAGAAGGATGTCCTCGGGGTCAGCAGAAGCTGCGAATTGCTTGTCCTACCAGAGACTTGCACGAGTACAGGCTCCCTCTTCACCCACTGAGCGCAGGTCTGTTGGCCTTCGGGGGGCCTCGCCGTCCTGTTCTTGTCTTTGAGAGGATTTCTGGAGTGTACAGACCTAGTGATGCTCAGCAGCCTAAAACGCCTTGTTCTTCTGAAAAAACGCCTTGTTCTTCTGAAAATAAGAAGACTGTCTGTCCTCTCTGCAAGTGTGGTTGTGAAAAGGAGTGATTTGCGTTAGGTCTAGCTGATCCAGCCCAGTCTCTGCATCTTACTTAGTTCATCAGGAAAACCGAGGGAATCGGGTGTGAGCTCCACTGACTCCTCCCCGTGGACGTCTCCATGGGACCACCCTCCCCTGCCTGCCTCAGGCTCAGAGAACGGGGTCCCTCCTGCCTGCTTTGGGGGCTCGCCTCATCAGACACATCAGGTCCTGGCAGAGGAGAAGTGGCTGCTGAGCAGCGCTGGGGCTTAACTGAGGGGTGTGGGCAGCATAAGACAGAGCCCTTGGGCACAAGCCACAGTGGGGAGCCTTCCCTACCAGGCTTTGGGGAAAGGGAAGAGCTGGCACAGTGAGGGGGGGATGCCTGAGGTAATGGGGACCTTAAAATGCGGGGAGTGGAGTTGTGTCTGCCCATTAGTTGTGTCCAGAATTATGGGAGATGAAGGGCAAGGAGCTGGACTGAGGACTAAAACATGCTGAATACTGGTCCAGCCGGCGTGGCCAGGGAGTCACAGTTCGATTCCTGGTCGGGGCACATGCCCGGGTTGCAGGCTCGGTCCCCAGTGTGGGGCGTGCGGGAGGCAGCCGATCGATGATTCTCTCTCATCATGGATGTTTCTCTCTCTTGCTCCCTCTCCCTTCCTCTCTGAAATTAATAAAAACATATACTTAAAAAGAGAACATGCTGAATACCGTGGGCAAATGTAATGTGCTATGACATTACAATGGTTATGATTTCACTAGGCAATAGGAATTTTTCAGCTCTGTTATAATCTTACTAGAGGACCGGTGCACGAATTTGTGTTGGGGGGAGGGAGGAGGGGTGCGCCGACCCGGGGGAGGGGACGCTGGAGCTTGGCCGGCTAGCCCCACCCCCATCAAGCCAGTTGGCTGGCCGCAGTGCACATCATAGCAACCGGTCATTCCTGTCGCTTGGCTTTTATATAGATAGATGGGAGCTGTGTTTTACTAGTATATGTGGTCCCTCGTTGACTCAACTGTCATCCTGCAGCGCATGCTTGTATTTGCTCAGTGTTACTTTCTCCCACTTGATTGTAAATTCCGCGAGGAGTGTGTTTTCTCACCGTTGACTCTGCGACAACAATGCTTGATTCTTAGCGGGCTCTCAATATACCTTTGTGGATGGAGTGGGTAAAAGCAACCTTTCTACTCTAGATAACGATGGGACTTTTATTCTTACAATGTCCAAAACCAAGTAGCGTTCGTTTTTATTTAAGCCACTTTGATGCCATTCAAGCCAAGGACATCTTGGTCCTTAGGCAGTGGATTCCGGAGGGAACCTCAGGGAGTTTTTTCATAGTCTCGTTGTGGAAAAACAGCAATGAGAGCACTCAATTCGTCTTTCTTTTTTTTTCCCCATTCTCCTCCCAAATACCAGAGCAGAACCAGGGCCAGTGATGTGGACCGGAGAGGATCCAAGCAGAGGCACAAATGCATTGGCGCCTGAGGGCTCACCTGCTAGCATCATGAACATCTAGCCCCAGGCCTTAGAGATTAAAAACAAAAAAATGCAATGGGGGAACACATGGCTTCTTGTTCCTGGGCCCAGCTGGGCCTGGAGAGGCGGTGCTGGGCTCCGGTCTACTGGTCTACCTGAGCAGTGCTGCCCACTGCTAGCGGCTTGGGATGGGAATATGTGAAGCTTTGGGATGGGAGGCCCAAAGTACCCCTGAGGTGTTGCCACAGAATTCAGAAGGGTGCCCAATGCCCGACCTTCTCTGGGACCCTTTCCCCCCCCCCCCCCCCCCCCCGCCCCAGCCTCCCACCTCTTCTACTTTAGTCTGTTATGGAGGAAAGGATGTGGCTGAATACACCTCAGGTTAGTTGTTTCCAGATATACAGAGGGAGGGCATAAAAAGGAAGCAAACTCCTTTTCTTTTCTTTTTTTAAAAATATATCTTTATTGATTTCAGAGAGTAAGGGAGAGAGAGAGAGATAGAAACATCAATGATGAGAATCATCGATCGGCTGTCTTCTGCACGCCCCCTACTGGGGATCGAGCCCACAACCCAGGCATGTGCCCTTGACCAGAATCGAACCCAGGACCCTTCAGTCCCCAGGCCGCTGCTCTATCCACTGAGCCAAACCAGCTAGGGCGCAAACTCCTTTTCAAGTGGTAATGCCAGCCCGTCTGTCTACTCTAGACAGAATGGTACCCCGCCATGAAAAGGGTCCAAAGGACACTGTCAACTCATCATCTATGGCCAGTAATGAAGTTAGTGACTACGGAGAGGCCAAGGGCCTGGTGGCCTCCTGTCCTCAGCATACTGTCCTCCAAAGCAGGCTCACTGAGCCCCACCGCAGAGGAACTTAGAGCCGGCCCATACCCAGGTGGGGGTGGACGACAGCCTCTGTTTGTCTATAAAACATATACCTTTTTTTTTATTCTTTTGGTGGAAAATGAGGAAGTGGAATTGAACGTGACCTTTGGAGTCAGGCTGACCTGGGTTCCTCTCCTGGCACTGCCTCTTCCCGGCTGTGTGTTACCCAACCTTTAGCTTCCTCTTCTGTCAGGTGAGGAGAAAAGTGCCCCCTAACGAAGTAGGAGAGGGGATTCACCGAGGGCCCTGATCTGGGACACGGCTGGATCCCCTGTGTCTGAATTTGGAGGAAAAAAAGTTCGGAGTCTGCACTGGGCCTGGGAAAGGAGGCAGGGGATATGAAGATCAGATTCCCGCCAGCCAGTGCAGGCCCTTGGCCTCCGCCCTCAGCCAGGGACCGGGAGGGGCCTGCTGCTGAGAGATCTGGCTTTGTTTTGATCCTGCCAAGTAAATAAGCCACAGGGATGGCTCGGTGTTTGGGAGTGGCCTCCTTTAGTCATGCGCTGGGTCACCTGGCCCAGGCGGGGCCCCAGTCTCGGTGTTACTTACGTTTGGAAAGAGAGCAGCTTTCCTTTTCGCGGGAATGTGGATGCCATGACCACCGGGAGGACACAGAGCCCCCACGCTGCTCAGGCAGCTGGTGGTTGCCTGTCCGAAGTCAAAAAAAGGCTCAAGCCACTGGTGTCAGACGCAGAAGGGGCGTGTTTGCCCGCGCTAGCCAGATGGGACGATCAGAATCACTCCTCCCTCTCCGCCGCTGAGAGAGCAATCTGTCCGCCTGCCAGCAGCCCCTCACCAGGCCATGCCTTGGCCTTTCACCCGAGAAACGTTCTCCGTGGGCAGAACAGCCGGGCTCTGTAATTCCACCTCTGCCTCCACCGTCACCCCTGGGTAACTCGAGGCCGCCAAAGGAAACATACATTATTCAGGGAATGCGAGCTGGGCGGTCCCACGCCCATAGCGTGTATCATGCACACATCCAACAGGCGTGTGTGTCGCCGAGGCTGAGTTTCGTCTTGTTTCAAACAGTTGGAAGCTGTCAGTCATTGGAGGAAGATGCCCGGTGATACTCCTCTTGTAGGAAACACACTCCCCCAAGGTGGTGGGCAGACTTCAAGCCAATAACGACTCTACCTCACCTATCCTCTTAGGCCTCGCAAGCTGGTTCCACAAGGTTCTAAATAAGTCACCCAGTGGTGGGTGGACATTTATCTTCTGGGAACTACTCCCAGGCGCCCGAAACACCAATTGAGAATGAGCAAGGCAAGTTCCCAAGGCCAAGGTCTTCTTTAGAGGGACAATGACACTTCACTCTGTGCTGATCACACATGGATTTTTGGTGTGACTTGTAAACCGTAACAGGTTGTTGGTTAGCGATCCAAATATATGCAGAACCATGAAGGATAGGATATTTATCCTTCCATTTTTTAAATAATATTATTGCCCTGGAGTGAAGGGGGCAGGTATGAGAAATGTTTACGTAGAGTCCACGTCTCGTATGGCGTGTGCGTTCTAGATTCGTGCTTTGGCACCGATGCTAACCACACAGATGCCAATTAGGAAACTCAAATCCAGTCATTACTCAGAGATTAAATATTTCAACACGGTGTCTCAAACTATAATTAAAGGCAAAGGCAGTGAGCCCCACTGCTGGGAGGGCAGAAGCCCAGAGGGGCAGCAGGCACCTACCTACCTCAGGAATTGTTCTCATCTCCAAGACAACCTACTGCCCCCGTGATGGACGTGTTCACAGCATTTCCCACCTTACAGCACAACCGGAGTAGAAGCCCGTCACGTGACCCATTTGGGAAGCGGCTGAGGGACGAGGGAGGACGCAGGTAGAAAAAGAGAACCAGGCTGAGGGCGAGGCCTCACCTCTCCCAGAAAAGGTGAAGTAAGGAAATGAAATCACGGAAGCCCATAGTGTGCGTCCCATTTTAAGGGGCGGCACGGTTCAATTTTGACCCACATTTTTGCTCTTTGTACTTTGTTGTGGCATCCAGCTCAAATCATAGCTGTAAGAGTATAAAAAAATACAGTGTGCGCATATCTTGAGCACATACTCATGAAATCCATTACTTTATGAATGTCAAGGTTGCTGTCATTTTTTCAAATGATGGGCCATATATAACAGAGATCTAGATCTAGATATAGATATAGATATAGATCAGTGATGGTGAACCTATGACACCATCATTTGAATCATATGAATCATTTTTTTGGTTCATTTTTCTTTGTTAAATGGCATTTCAATATATAAAATAAATACCAAAAATGTAAGTCTTTGTTTTACTATGGTTGCAAAGATCAAAAAATTTCTCTATGTGACACGGCACCAGGGTTCAGTTAGGGTTTTTCAAAATGCTGACACGCCGAGCTCAAAAGGTTCGCCATCACTGATATAGATATATAGAAAAATATGACTTGAGTTAAATTTAAAAATTCCATTTCCTGTCACCTAAACATTTGGTCAACTATCTTCTTGTGGTTACATTCTTCTCTTTTTGGCCTGCTGTTTTGGTAACACTTAAGCACTTTTCTTTCCTTCTTTCTTTCTTTCTTTCTTTTTTTCTTTCTTTCTTTCTTTCTATTTCTTTCTTTCTCCTCACCAAAGGATATTTTTTATATTGCTTTTTAGAGGGGGGGGGGGAGAGAGAGAGAGGGAGAGAGAAATATGGATGTGAGAGAGACACATCGATTAATTGCCTCCCGCACGAGCCCGATACAGGCAGGGATCAAACCTGCAACCCAGGGACATGCCCTTGACCGGGAATCGAATCCATGACCCTTCAGTATGCAGGCCAATGCTCTAACCACTGAACACACCAGCCAGGGCTAAGCAGTTTCTTCACGGTTGTTAAAAACTGTAAAAAGAGTTAGTATAGGTAAAGTGCTTAAAAGCGCCACATGAGTGGGTACAATTACTCTTTCTGACCCTAGAAATGGAGAGGACTAGGAATATTTTGAAGGTGCTGAGAATAGTTTACTATATTTTTAATACTTACTCAGCACAGGCATTTCCAAAGCAGTGTCGGGAAACACCACACATTTCAACAACACTTACGTTGACGATTCAGAGAGTGGGGCAGATAGACATATGGCAGGAAGCTATACTTACACCCACTGAGATTCACCCTGGTTAATTACTTTTCCTGACAGGAGCATGATATCACAGCATCCATAAGGGAAACTTGTTTCATGGGTAATATTATGAAGTCCATAGATAATAAAGAACGTCCCTCAGACACTTACAGACTTACTCCTACCTAAAAGGAATATTCTTTTCAAGGGATATTTTACAAAGAAAAATGTCTAAAGTCCTTTCCTTCTTCGTCAGTATCCCCCTCGATTTTATCGTTGTAGGTGGACGTCGTCATATAGAAAATAGCCAGCTACAATAGAATTAGACTCTATTTCAGTGACAAAAAAAAAAAAATTGATTATAGTCTGGGTAGTAGGAGAAACCAAGGAAGTACTGTTCTTTCTGTTAGGCTGATATGGACATTGTGGTCACATAAGAACATAAGTAATATATACATACTAGAGGCCCAGCACACGAAATCGTGCAGCCCCGCCCACCTGCGCACGCCTCGCCTTGCTCACCTGGGGGCACCCACCTTGCTGGCCCACCCGCCCACTGGCCGCCAGGCTTGCTGTGATTGGAGCCTGTGGGCCGCAGGGGGGAGGGACTGAGAGGTGCTCCATGCACTCACTTCATGGTGACTGGTCCTTTGGTCGTTACGGCGTTACGGCACTGGCTTTTTATAATATAGATAATTTTTGTTTTGGTTTTGTTGTTTTGTTAATCCTTGCCCAAGGATATTTTTTCCATTGGTTTTTAGAGAGAGTGGAAGGGAGGGAAGGGAGTGGGAGGGACAGAAGCATCGGTGAGAGGCTCATCAAACCCCAGTATCTACTCACCTCCAAGCAGCGCTCTGAGAAGCATCGCTGTTCATGAGGTCTTTCCGAACGGGGCTTGCAAAGAGTCCAGGATGCTGACGGTGATTCCTGTGATTCTCTCAAAGCACCCCCCCCCCCCAATCCCACCGCATTTCCCAGCACCCTCCGCGTTTCTCAGACCGGGCAGGGCCCGCAGGGCTTCTGCTCTGATGGCGGTGGACAGGTGACTTCCCAACACTGCTCGAGGTTTTCTGGGAAAACGAGTTTACAGTAAAACGGGAGGCGCTGGAAATGCCCACATAACGCTTGGCTTCTTGAGCAGAAGGGAAGCTGAGATGCTCTGGGTCCCCCTCCAGCAGGGAGGTGTGGGGCCCTGGAGCTGGGCCTGGGCTGCTTCCCCTTGTTAGTCTCACTCCCGGGCTCCCAGGCGTCAGGATTCTGCTGCCTGTTATCTGGACAAAACCTTCCTGTTGAAGTTACTGCTGCTCAAAGTCTGAGTGTGTAGATTTTGGCCTGTGTGTCTTCAGGGAGCATATAGCGCTCTCTCTCTCTCTCTCTCTCTCTCTCTCTCTCTCTCTCTCTCTCTCGTAGAATAGCTCAAGTGGTCTGTTGATTCATTGCATATCTGTTGTGACCCACGGGAAAGAATATTCCATCAACCCCTAAGCTCGGGATTCTCTAGCCTCCGTTTTCCTGGATGACAACTCCCCTCTCTGCTTTATTCCCGCATCCCTGGGGTTGACCTGGCTTGGTGCCGCTCGAGAAATCGGTCATCAACCGTTAAAAAAAAAAAAAGTCTTCTGAATCCGTAGCTGTAACTGCCTGGGTTGGATGAAAAGAAAAGGACTCCAGCGCTCACACAGGCCCAGGCAGACATGGGCAGGGCCGTCATTAAGCAGTAAATCACCAGGTGCTGTTAGCGCAAGCCCCGGATGGGCTGGGGGGGTGGGGGTGGAGGGAGTTGAATGTCCTCACCTGCCAACAGGAACGAAAACAAAAGGAAGAGCCCGGTCAAGCTTGACCAGGCAGAGCTTCTGCCTGGCATGGCCACAGAGCCGGAAGCCAGGGCTCTATGCCACGCCAGATGCCAACTCCCTCCTCCGCAGCCAGATCAGGGCAAACGCTTCCTGGTTGGCAAGGAGCAACTTTGGTTTGACTCATGCGTGAGATCAGAAGTCCTCGAACGGCTCCCACTGGTGTGCCAAGGAAGCCTGCAACTTCAGGAAAACAACAAAATTCGCACACAGACTCCGTTCATCAGAAGGTGTTGGTTTTTCGTGTTTGCTAATCCTTACCGGGAGGATTTGTTTGTTGTTTGTTTTGCATTGCTTTTCAGAGAGAGTAGGAAGGAGGAGGGAGAGTGAGAGAGACAGAGGAGAGCGAGAGGAACATCGATGTGAGAGAGACACATCGATTGGTTGCCTCCTGCACCTGCCCCGACCATAGGGGCGGGGGGGCGGGGGGGGGGGGCTGGGGATTGAATCTGCAACCCAGGTCGGTGCTCTTGACAAGGAATCGAACCCGCGACCCTTTAGTGAGTGGGCCCATGCTCCGACTGCTGAGCCACACCAGCCAGGGCAGAAGGTGTAGGTTTGGAACCTGGGCCGGCCGTCAGTTAACCAGGATCTCAGGGCACCGTGGCTCCCGGCTGCGGCCTCCAAAGCCCGTTGTTGGCATTTGTCCCCCCTGCACAGGGACACCGTGGTGGGTGGCCCGTGATTCCTGACTCCGACGCCAGGAAAACAAACAAACAAGCAGAGGAGGAGGCCCTGACTCTCCGTCCCCAGCTGCCCGTTGAGCCCAATTCAGGACACGCTTCCGTGGACGAGGGCCTCTCTGCTTGGCCCGTGCGGACGATGGGGATTTATCGATGCCTCCTCCCCTCCTGACTTTTATGGGAAACGCGTCCCGAGGTGTCACGACGGGCTCGTCGCCTTTGGAGTCCACGCCCCTCGATCCCTCGCAGAGGACTGGGTTCAGGGAGAGACCACGGAGATCGCATAGCCGAACCCTGGATTTTTTAGTGCCTTCTTCTAGAACGTTCCAAGGGGAAGGGATCCAAGGGTCTGTCACAGCTGACAGAGTGCCATGTCTCGTGTCACGGCGTGTCCTAGGGCCACGGTCTGAAGCATGTTCTCCACGTGTGGCCCCTGACCACCTGGCAGGTGGCACATCCCCTGGAATTCGTTAGAAATGCACATTCCTAGGCCCCGGCCCAGACCCACAGAGTCAGAAACCCTGGGGCTGGGGCCCAGCGATGCTCTGACAGCTCCTTCGGATGGCGCTCAAGTTTGAGAGCCGCTGGTCTCCAAGAAAAACATATATTTCCATAGGGAGGAAGTTGGGGGAGAGGGGTATTGTCTGCCTTGAGGGTGCTTACTATTTCTATAGCCATTCCTCAGCCTTCTTTACAGCTTAGTTTTTTAGCTGGTTTGGCTCAGCGGATAGAGCGTCGGCCTGCGGACTGAAGGGTCCCGGGTTCGATTCCGGTCAAGGGCACCTGCCCGGGTTGCGGGCTCCATCCCCAGTAGGGGGCGTGCAGGAGGCAGCCGATCAATGGTTCTCCCTCATCACTGATGTTTCTCTCTCTCTCTCCCTCTCCCTTCCTCTCTGAAATCAATAAAAATATATATTAAAAAAACAACAAAGAAAATTAGAAATGACCTTCATTTGCCCTCTTGACCCAGAGGAGGAGGATGACATAGGAGCAAGACATTCTCTTCTTACCTGTCCTTCATCTCATGGTGGATCCCAGATCCTCGCAGAGCAAGGCGTTCCTGCGGGTCCCAGGCCCTGGAGGCCCCCAGGCCAAGGAGTTTCCCGAGCCATTTGGGAGGGCCGGGGCGGCTGAGGTCAGGGACACAAAGGCTTGGCTGCCGCCCCACAGGAAAGAAATCTGGGAGTGTGCTCAGGACCCCGCCTGGCCTCGGGGGAGCCCGCCAGCTTGGGAAACACCTGACCCACATTCACTCAGGGAGCTGGGGGCCTGGGACCTCGCAAAGCAAGGACACATGTCCTCAGTGCCCTTCCCCGGGCGGGGAGCAGAAGAAAATGGTGAGGCCGGCGAGCCAGAGGCCCTGGAGCCCTTTGGGAGGAAAGCATAGGACCAAGACTATTCATAGCACCTGCTCTGTGTTTACGTATTACAAGGGGGTGACATTTTCCTATTTGTCTTTCTGCCTTCTACCAATTCAGCTGCCACGGCGTGTCTAGTGCCGTCCTTTGCCATTGTGTGTGGCGACAAGTCACCCGCTTATTGAAACACTCGGGGAAGGACAGTCTAGTGGTTAGGCCTGGCGAGCCAGACCGACTGGCTCTGCGTGAACTAGCTGTTGGGACTTGGGGAAATGACTTAATCTCTTTGGGCCCCAGGTGTCCACAGGGGGGAAAAAAAATATGAGTAATAGTAGTGTTTACGTTGTGAGCCTCAAAGGTGATCATCTCATTCTACTGGTATGTGGTCAGCACTGAAAACAAAGTCCCCAAACGCATCCTCGCCCCTTCTTTTTGTCTTCTAAGATTTTTACATGGGTTTTGAGAGGGAGAAAGGGAGAAGGAGAGAGCAACATGGATGTAGGCTGCCTCTTGCACGCCCCCTACAGGGCTCAAGCCTGACACGCAGTGTGGGACTGGAAACCTTACAGTGCCTGGGACGATGCCCAACCCATTGAGCCGCCCTGGCCAGGGCGGATCCTGCCCCTTCTTGCTTCTCTGGTTCTGTCATTCTGCTCTGTGGAATCCTCCTTGTCCAGCGCCCCCAGACACAGATATTGCCTGTGCCTCCTGATCCCCCAGAGTTCACCTTCAATGTCACTTCCTCCATAGAGCACCTCTCAGGATCTGGTGATCATCTCATTCTACTGGTATGTGGTCAGCGCTGTGCTTTCTGTTTGTTTGTTTGTTTCGTTTTAAAATGTTTTTATTGCTATTTTAGCGAGAGAGGAAGGGAGAGGGAGAGAGAGAGAGAAACATCCATGATGAGAGAGAATCATGGATCGGCTGCCTCTTGCACACCCCACACTGAGGATCGAGCCCGCAACCCGGGCCTGTGCCCTGACCGGGAATCGAACCGTGACCTCCTGGTTCCTAGGTCAACGCTCAACCACTGAGCCACACCAGCTGGGCTAGTCGAGTCATGGTTAACTTGGGAAAAGGGTATCATGATGTATGTAATCTTTTGGAATTTATTTTTAAAATGGAATATGTTGCCACAATTCAATCGGATCGTTGCGTGTAGCCGTAGTTCATGTTGGAACTGCCGAATCAGATTCTGTTGTGGGAATAAAAGCACAGCTTATCTGTCCACTCTTCTCTTGATGGGCATTTGGGTTGTTTGGGGGTTTTGTTACTGTGAACAGGAGACAGGGTGGTTGTAAAAGAAGATCTCGCCCTAACCGGTTTGGCTCAGTGGATAGAGCGTCGGCCTGCGGACTGAAGGGTCCCGGGTTCGATTCCGGTCAAGGGCATGTACCTTGGTTGCGGGCACATCCCCAGTAGGAGGTGTGCAGGAGGCAGCTGATCGATGTTTCTCTCTCATCGATTCTAACTCTCTATCCCTCTCCTTTCCTCTCTGTAAAAAGTCAATAAAATATATTTAAAAAAAAAAAAAAGAAGATCTCCAAGGAGAAAACCTACTATGAAGCAACAGTGATTAACACAGTGCAGGACTTGCCCAGGGACAAACTGACCAATGGAATCGGACGGGATGCTGGGAAATCTTGCTGTATGGCAGCGGTGGAATTTCAGACTCGTAGGGAAAGGAGAGGCTATTCAATAAATGAACTTGGAAAAAATGGCTATGCCTATGAAAAAGAAGGAAACTGAATCCCGAACTCAGACTCTGAATAAAAATCAGCACCAAATGGATCAAGAACTTAAGTATCAAAACAAAACCTAAAAAATGCAGGTGACTCGCCCTGGCTGGTTTGGCTCAGTGGATAGAGCGTTGGCCTGCGGACTGAAGGGTCCCGGGTTCGATGCCAGTCAAGGGCACATGCCAGGGTTGCGGGCTCGATCCCCAGTAGGGGACATGCAGGAGGCAGCTGATTCGTGATTCTCTCTCCTCATTGATGTTTCTTTTCTTTCTTTCTTTTTTTTACTTTTCATTTGCATTTATTTAACACAGTTCTCAAGACATTTGAGTGAAATTGGGCCTCCTCTGGTATGCAAAGGGTCTGAAATAATATTTAAAAAATGAACAGGCAGTCTTCAGTTCATACACAGCACAGTCGTGTTTTTCTCTCCAAATTCTGAAGCACCCAGTTTCTTTCATATCGTCTAAAACAGGGGTCCTCAAACTACGGCCCACGGGCCACATGCAAATACAAATATTGTATTTGTTCCCGTTTTGGTTTTTTACTTCAAAATAAGATATGTGCAGTGTGCATAGGAATTTGTTCATAGTTGTTTTTTTAAACTATAGTCCGGCCCTCCAACGGTCTGAGGGACAGTGAACGGGCCCCCTGTTTAAAAAGTTTGAGGACCCCTGGTCTAAAAGCTAGAAAAAGAGCACATTTGTGGTGGAATGTATTATCATTTGCTGATAACCAGTTGAAATGCCATCATTGAGAAGTAGCCTTTTTAAGCCATACATTGTGCCACTCTTTCCCTGCTATAAAATACAGATTACATAAAGGCTGACAAATCCACATTCGTATAAGCATTACGCATTTGCTGTATTGAAAGATCATTAGGTCTAATACTAGCAGTACTGAGTTACAGAGCATCATTTTTAATATTTAGTTGCAGGTATGTTAAGTATGGTAGGTTCCATGGACTAAAGGAAAATGGACATTTTTGTCTTCAAACTTACTACTGACAACCTAGTCTGAACAATTCTGCTAAGGACTGATGTTAGAAAGAAAAGTAAAACATCAAACTTTAGCCCTAACCGGTTTGGCTCAGTGGATAGAGCATCAGCCTGCGGACTGAAAGGTCCCAGGTTCAATTCCAGTCAAGGGCATGTACCTTGGTTGCGGGCACATCCCCAGTAGGGAGTGTGTGCAGGAGGCAGCTGATGGATGTTTCTCTCTCATTGATGTTTCTAACTCTCTATCCCTCTCCCTTCCTCTCTGTAAAAAATCAATAAAAATATATTTTTTTAAAAAATCAAACTTTATTGTTGCTTTTTGCCATTTGGTAGCATTTTACACACAGGCTTTGATCTTCAGAATACCCTGGATTCAGTAGGAAAAAACCCTTTCAATGAAGTTTTGTACAATAAAGTCACCTAACTTCACTAGGCACTGTTCACTTTTTAAACAGGAGACAATAAAAAATACTGTCCACAAACAATATGCAAACTCTAAAGTAGATTTCAGAAAGCCTTCCACTTCGTGCTTTAATAGCGACGAGGTGAGTATGATCGCGATCTGGGACGCGATCTATATTCTCCACGGTTATAGTAAGGAGAAGGTGACCGCCTTCTGTAAACCTGCTCCCTGTCTTGAGCAGCCCTCCATCCTCCTCGCCCTCCACCACCACCTCTGTCTAATCTGCTGTAGTAGTCCCGGTCATCACAGCCTCGATCGTATCCTCTGTCGTAGTAATCACGACGGCGCGAGCTGCCATAGGTAGGTCTCCCCATATAAATTCCTGGTGTTGGGGAATATGGTCTTTTTGTTATAGAGAAATCAACTCTGATTCTACGTCCATCGATCTCCATTCCATTGGCGCGCTCTCTTGCTTCCTTGGCATCATCTACATTTTCAAAATACACAAAGGCGAACCCTCTTGAACGTCTAGATTGCTGGTCGTAGACCACAGTCACATCAGCAATGGGGCCATATTTAGAGAATACGTCTCTGAGATCTCTTTCTGTCGTGTACAAGCTCAATCCAAATGCTCCAAGACAACAGTTGGGAGCAGGATTGGCCCGATTCCCCACATGACGTCTGCGAGTAGACATGGGAAAATGACCGTGGCTGGGACGCCTCCGGTAGTCTCGACTGCCAGACCTGCTACCGGATCGTCTATGGCAGCGAGACCGAGATCGTGATCTTGTATAATAACGCCTTCGAGAACTTCTCCTGGATCTAGACCTAGGTTCAGATCTGGACCTGGACTTTGATCTGGAACGCCTGGAATCTTCCTCGGAGCGAGACCTTGCAGGGGTATGCCTCGCAGATGTCCCAGATCCATGAGCACTTCCACTTCTGGAAGCAGAACGGGATTCCCGCTCACCGTGGTTCTGCTCGCCGCTGTCGCTCATGACTCCTAGATGCTGCTGCCGCTGCCGCCACCACTGCCACCACCGCCACTCAGCTCGATGTGCTTCAACCGAAGCTGCCAACCTCTTGCACTGTTGGGGTCCAACCCCAGCAGGTCCAGGGGTTCCCAAAGGTGTGGATGGAGTCGGTGAAGAAGGAAGGACACGGCAACAGTGTTCAGTTGATCAGCAGCCTAGCCAGGTTCTCCAGCCAGGATCTCCAGCCAAGTTCTGTGTTTTATTGTCTTGTTACATCTGTATTTATACCAGTTGATTTTAATCCTATCAATCTCTATTCCAAAGGTTAGGGCGTTTCTTATCTCCATTCCAGGGAGTAAAGATTATGTAGCTTAAGTGTGATTGTTCGTAGTTAAAGTGATTAACTACCCGCCTGGCACTTAGTTAAGGGGTTTTATCCCCTCCCTAACTTCAGGGGAAAATCCCCACCTGGGGAAACAACCTTTCTCGGAGAGGTGACCTTGGTTAAAACACATAGTACTAAGAAGGGGAGCAAACATATTAAGAACAGTGTGCCATAGACGCCAGGTCCCTTGAAACATAAGCTGTGCAGATGTTTCTTCCCTGCAGCGACTGTGTCAAGCAGCAAGGATGGGCCGGCTCCCGGCATTGCACCTTCTGTACAGAGGCTTGGCCTCAGCCTGTCGGCACCACAAGTTTCCACACCGCTGAGGTCCCAATCGCTACGCACTGCTGCCACGCGGGCTCTAAGTCTCCAGGATGTGACGCAGCGTCTTTAATCCGGCTCCGCCCCTCTCAAAGCGCGCACTTTGTTGGCCTCATTGATGTTTCTATCTCTCTCTTCCTCTCCCTTCCTCTCTGAAATCAATAAAAATGTATATTTTTAAAAACACAGGTGACTCTTTTAGACCTTGGAGTTGCAAAAGACGTTGTAAATAAGACACGAACAACATGTATCAGAAAAGGAGAGACTGGTAAGTTTGACTATATTAAAAGTAAGAACACTTGTTTGCCTATAGATGTTGTGCAAACAACCTCCAGGACTAAAGATCACCATCCTGGGCTGAACTCCGCCCTCACAATAAATCCCGTTTATAATTTGAGATTAGATTTAAATATACATAAGACTTCAGAAGACTCTGTAGTCTTAAAGGGACCATTGTTTCCTTTCGAACGATAAGTCTTATTGGCGCCCAGGTGTTCCCTCTTGCTTCCTGGTTGCTCTCACTCCACTTGGAATATGAACTTCAGAGCCTTCGTAGACCGGAAGCAAAAGGCTGAAATCTGCCGTATTAAGCCAGGCAGGACTTTATCTCCATCCCCAAAGTAAAAATTCTAAAGTTCCTAAAAAATAAAGTTTCCACGGAGGCGAGTGACAATAAACACTCCTTCCGCAGATGTTTATTGAGCACCAACTCCCTGTCGGACACTGTGCTAGAAGCTAGGAGTACAAAAATAGTTAAGATACAGTCCCGGTCCTTATGCAATCCTTCACTACCATCTGTCACAGGAAGATAAGGAGATGGCAGTGTTCTTGTCCCTGTGTTAGGATTGTCACGGCAGCAGGAATCTGGCCTTTGCGTGGCAAGCACACAATGGAGTATACAGATGTTGTAGTCTGACGTTGTATAACGGAAATTTATGTAATGTTATTAACCAGTTACCCCAAGAAATTTAATTTTTTTTAAAAAAAGAGTTGCCTGTCTGGTGTGGCTCAGTGGTTGAGCATTGACCTTTGAACCAGGAGGTCACTGTTCGATTCCGGTCAGGGCACATGCCCAGGTTGTGGGCTCGATTCCTAGTAGGGGGCGTGCAGGAGGCAGCCGATCTATGATTCTCTCTCCTCATTGATGTTTCTATTTCTCTCTCCCTCTTTCTCTCTCTCTCTCCCCTTCCTCTCTGAAATCAATAAAATCAATCAATGAATCAATAGAGTTGTCGCAGAGTCTAGTAGGGCACCAAGGAAGGGCCGGACATGCTGAGGAGAGGTAGGCATAGGAGAAGCTTGAAATCTGAGCAAAGATATGAAGGTGTGAACAATGACGTGAGTATAGGGAAGCACGGAGTCCGATGGGCGGCCTGGTGAGACCAAGAAGTCACCTTAATAAGGCAGGGTCTAGTTTGGGCCTTTGAACTTCTGCTAGAGGCTACCAGCTGCCTTAGGAGAATTTGAGGCAAGAGAGTAACATCATTAAACTTGGTTTAAACTTGATTTCAGGGAGATCAGTCTGGTTGGAGGGGTTGGACGATGGTGGCAGGAAGCTCACCCAGGCCCTGAGACCAGGATGGCACCAGCATTAGGCGGGGGGAGGGCTGGGAGAGAGGTGTGAAGGATCTGGACATTGACCAGATTTGGGAAGTCACAAAACCCGGGAATCTGCAACGACTTGCAGTTTTGCAAATGAAGCCTGCGTAGCTAGATGGTAGTCCCTGAGTTAGGCCAGTGGTCGGCAAACTCATTAGTCAACAGAGCCAAATATCAACAGTACAACGATTGAAATTTCTTTGGAGAGCCAAATTTTTAAAAAAATATATTTCTTTATTGATTTCAGAGAGGAAGGGAGAAGGAGAGAGATAGAAACATCAATGATGAGAGAGAATCATCGATCGGCTGCCTCCTGCACACCCCACACTGGGGATGGAGCCCACAACCCAGCCATGTGCCCTTGGCTGGAATCGAACCCAGGACCCCTCAGTCCGCAGGCCGGCGCTCTATCCACTGAGCCAAGCCAGCCAGGGCCAAATTTTTTAAACTTAAACTATATAGGTAGGTACATTGTTATTAACTTAATTAGGGTCCTCCTAAGGCTTAGGAAGAGCCACACTCAAGGGGCCAAAGAGCCGCATGTGGCTCTCGAGCCGCCGTTTGCCAACCACAGAGTTAGGGAATACTAAAGGTGAAGCAAGCTTAGGGGGAAAAGAAATTGACCTTGGCCAAAACCGGTTTGGCTCAGTGGATAGAGCGTCGGCCTGCGGACTGAAAGGTCCCAGGTTCGATTCCGGTCGAGGGCATGTACCTGGGTTGCGGGCATATCCCCAGTAGGAGATGTGCAGGAGGCAGCTGATCAATGTTTCTCTCTCTCATCGATGTCTCTAACTTTCTATCTCTCTCCCTTCCTCTCTGTAAAAAATCAATAAAATATATTTAAAAAAAAGAAAAAAAAGAAATTGACCTTGAGCTGAGAAGGTGCCCTGGTGAGTGAAGGGGCAGGACAAGCAGGGAGAACACCCCCCAACCCCTCAAGGGACATCCCGGAGGGCGGGGTGATGGCGATCCGGAGAGGGAGTGTCTGAAGGACACAGGATTGAGGAGGTTTTTTTAGGTTTTAGACGTGTGAAGCAGAACTATGCCTGAGGGCTGCAAGAACAAAGCCAGGGGAGGTGGAATGGCTCAAAATATCTGACGGAGGGATCGCATCTTTCTGCCGTACATCTTGTGAGTGTTGAAATTTCAAAGACAAGATCAGGGTGATTCCAGGAAGCTGCTCTTCCCCTAAAATACGTCCCAGACAGCATCTGAATTGTAACATAGACCATCCTGTCTCCCGGACAACAAGCGGCCATTTCCACGTGCAAACAAGGCCTATGTCCAATAGTGTGAGAATCACACAAAGGGATGTAACTCGGGATGACAGTGCAGGCCTAATGTCTCTATCCACATCTGTGCTTCATGAATATTATAACAGCATCCAGCCCTTCTCATTGGGTTTTTTCTATTTACACAGACCGATGACGCAAACACGCAAGCCTGTTCCAGATTCGTGCAGATAATAGCAGAGTATCATTATGAATTCATAACAGACCTCGACAGGCTGCGCATGGAGCCCAGATATACACGGGGAAAGGCAAAGAGAAGGGACCTGGCAAGAAGTACATTGAAGATAGACACAGCAGAGCCCGGCCGGTGTGGCTCAGTGGTTGAGCATCGACCTAGGAACCAGGAGGTCACGGTTCCATCCCTGGTCAGGGCACATGCCCGGGTTGCAGGCTCCATCCCCTGTGTGGGGCGTGCGGGAGGCAGCCGATCGATGATTCTCTCTCATCATTGAGTTTCTATCTCTCTCCCTTCTTCTCTGAAATCAATTTTTTTTTTTTTAAAAAAAGAAAGATTTTGATTTATGATGGTGTTAGAGCATCTGGAGAATAGGCCGTTACCCTTTTGATCTTGGTTTATCTCTGCCCAGTCTCAGCTCTCTTTTCCGGCACGTAGGAAGTAAGAAATAGAGTTGTTAAATTGCATGGAGCCACCCACTCTCACTGCAGGTCTCTCCGTCTTCAGTGTGAGCTATGATGACACAGAGGCCCGCCTTGACACAGTAAATTCCTTTGTGTTCATTGACTCTGCACATGGGCGCGACGAAGACAAGTTAGCACCGTATCCTCCAAGAGGCAGAAAGAAGAAAGAGTTAAAAAAAAAAGACTTAGCTCGCCAGCATTGGTCCTAACAAGAAAAATACAACCCTAGATGGTTTGGCTCAGTGGATAGAGTGCCGGGCTGTGGACCAAAGGGTCCCGGGTTTGATTCTGGTCGAGGGCATGTACCACAGTTGCAGGCTCCTTGGGCCCTGGCCCTGGTCGGAGGCAACCAATCAATGTGTTTCTCTCACATCGATGTTTCTCTCTGTCTTTCCCTCTCTCTTCCATTCTCCCTAAAAATCAATGGACAAATATCCTCAGGTGAGGATTAACAAAAAAAAAAGAAAGGAAAAATATATACGGTAAAGTGGATTTTGATGGCATGCGGGGAAAAAAAAGTGTTTGTTTTTATGAATTAAAATGAATTGAGCTCCAGAAGCCCCTCAAGAATTGCAGGCTGAAACCTCCGGATTTTATTCGGAAATCCCGTAGCGAACCTCAGCCTTTTGGAGGGCACATGCCCAGGTTGCAGGCTCCATTTTTGAACACTAGTCCTAGAGCACGCTTGGCTTGCCATTGGTGTAACTCGAAAAGAAGTTCCATAGTCAAATAGGTTTATGAAAGACTGGATTTAATAAAGATAGAATTTCTCAGGGCTTCTTTTTTTTATCAT